TATATATATATATATATTTATTTATTTATTTATTTAAAGTTTTAATTTAGATTTGAATTGGATCCAAATTCCAGGTATTGAAACTAGCAAGGGCGGCAAACTCACACTCAAGGAATATTGAGACTAGTGACAAGAGTTTAAAATTGAAGTAGCAGTCTTGATGTAATTGGTACTTTCAGATTTAGGCGAAATTTGAATTTTAGGTATTGAAAGCTGGTATTGGGCAGAAAGCTCGGAATGGACAGAGGGTAACAATTCGAGTTGTTGATACGAAGCTGGGAATAGACAATGTTAATGAGAAAACATTCATTCTCGGCTTCAGTATGGTCATTGATGGTTTGTTTTGTTCCTTCTGACTATTTTTATGTTTTTGGATTTATGTAGTGGAGAAAGACAATCTCCTAATGTTAAGAAATTAAAATATAAGTGGTTTATTTTGCTGCTTTGAAAATTTAATTCTTATAATTTAAGATAAACCGTATGTATCTTAAAAATAGTGATAATGCTATCCTTCAAAGAAATGAGATTTGGCTGTGAACATAATGTGCTTTGAAGACAAAACTATGTTTATAATTGAAATTTTAATTCTTATCACGTTTCATATCAGGATTATTGGTTCGTTACAAAGATTAAGCAATTCACAAAGTTGGATACTTTCTTTATCTAGAAAAAAGTTCCTCTGATATATTTTTCAGCATGGGAAATGATATTGCAATTGATGCATGAAGGAGAAGTTGATGCCGTGAAAAGTGAGCATCGTTTTGCTTATGGTTCCTTTGGGGATCCAGAGAGGTCTATTCCACCGTATGAGTCGATGGAGTATGAAATTGAACTTATTCGTATTACTGATGGACCATTGTATACAACACTTAACAATGATCAGTTAATTCAATATATTACTGAATTAAAAGAAAGAGGAAATTATTATTACAATCGGAAGGAACTGGATAAGGCGATATACATTTATAAAAGGTCACCTTTCATATAAAATATGATTCATCTCAAAACATCGGTAGTAATCCGGCTTTATTTCATTTATCTCTTTCATGCAGAAATATCTTAACTAATAAAATACGCTGGATCTTGATCCATTCTTATAAATTAATTGGATGCATCTTTACATTGTATCGTTTAACATTTATTGAAGTGTTCTTAAAACATTTCTATCTTTTCTGATCTTGAGATCGTAGTAAAATAAATTGAGGTTTACAAATTATTTTTCAGGAGTACGGAGTTAATCGATACACCCAGCGATGTAACAATACGAAATTTATTCTCTGTTATTTACTCTAATTTGTCTGTCTGTTACGCAAAAGTATGATTTCTAACTGTTTTGTTGTTCATTAAAAGTTGATTACATTTAGAAAAATGAAAAATGGTTCGATGTCCTAATTGTAAAACGATTCAGGCTGTAAAATACTTCTATATGTTTTCTCTTTTTTTTTTTTTTTTTTTTTTTAAAAAAAAAA